CTTGTTTAACAATAGAGCCTAAATATCTGCCAATACTAGAAGTGCGCTTAAAGCCCATTCTGTTGACAATCCTTGTAGCAACTTGAGTATCAGTATTCGGGGAAAAATAAATCAAAGATTTATTTGCACTAACACTTTGCCCCGACATCTCACAAAAGAGATTAATACAATCCATAATCACCTTAACTTGCTCCATATCTGCTTCCGCAAAGAGAATGATATCATCTGCAAATAAAAGGTGAGATACACTCGGCCCTCTTCTGCAGACTCTAATAGGCTTCCACGAACCCATAGTCACTTTTTCAGCGATCAAGTGGGAAAGCTTCTCAACACACAACACAAAAATATAAGGAGATATTGGATCCCCTTGACGAATTCCTCTCTGAGGAACTATGCAATCCGAAGCCACACCATTTATCAAGACCCTCGAACGATTAGAAGTTATAGAAGCCATTATAACACCAATCATCCAATCAGGAAACTGAACTTCAATAAGCACTTTATAGATAAAACTCCAACTGAGTTTATCATAAGCTTTTTCAAGGTCCAGTTTGATTCCCATTGTACCTTTCTTTCCTTTTACTCTCCCCATAGAATGAACCAACTCCTTTGCTACTATAATATTATCCTGAAGCTGACGATTTGGCACGAAGCTAGCTTGGTAAGGAGAAACTAAATTCTCCATTGTAAGCTTAAGCCTATCCACAATGATCTTGCTCATACCCTTATAAATGACATTACACAAAGAAATAGGCCTGAATTGAGAAACATACATTGGCTTAGGAACTTTGGGGATCAAAGTGATCAGAGTACCGTTGACTTCCTCAATGCTGGAAGGGTTTTCTGCATAATACTTGATATCTCTCCAAATCTGTTCACCAATAAATTCCCAGTTCTTTTTGTAGAATGCCGCGGTATAGCCATCCTCCCCTGGAGCTTTCGAATCTTTCATAGAAAAGAAAGCTCGTCTGACTTCATCTTTTGAAATTGGAGCACCTAAGTTAACAGCAGTCTCATCGTCCACCTTTGGCCAAAGAGTCTGGACCCAAGGACGATCATGGTTTTCTTCAGAAAATAGTTTAGAGAAGTAAGCATTTATTACCCGTGCAATGTTGTGATCTTCTCTAATCAAGTTTCCAGCATCATCTTTCAACTCTAAGATCTTGCTCCTTCTACGTCTAACAATTGTTTTCGTATGATAGTACTTTGTATTCCTATCTCCTTGAGCTATCCAAGTAGCACGAGACTTTTCAAACCACAAAAGTTCCTCCTGTTCTAAAACTTGTTCAAGTTCACCCCTTATCTTGCCTTCAATCTTTTCCAAATGGCTTTTATTCTGCTCAGAAATTGCCCTCTGGATACCTTCAAGCCTACCAATCAATCTGTTCTTCTTATGATGGATATTACCAAACACATCTTTATTCCACTGCTTAATAAGAGGAGTGAAATCACGAAGACTATCAACTGTTCTTTGATCCTGACGCCAGTTTTCCTTGATGAAATTGTTAAAAAATTGATGATCCAACCAAAAAGAATGAAAACGGAAAGGGCGTTCCACCCCATCAACTTTGCTTGGCTCTAAGGTAATAAGGATAGGATTATGGTCACTGTTAATACGAGGAAGCACTCGAACCTGGCCTTCATGAAACATCAACCTCCATTCAGCATTGCTACAAGCTCGATCTAAACGTTTAAAGACTCTATCTAAATGAAGAAATCTTGGTCCTCGCCATGTAAATTTAGAACCTATTCCTTCAAGATCAATCATCTTTATATCAGTTAGAAGAGAAGCAAATTTATTACATCTGCTAGTATCAACTGGAGCACCACCACGTTTCTCACTTGGAAATGCAATTTCATTAAAATCACCTGCAATTAACCAAGGAACCGAAATATCTTCTGATAACTGAAGTAAATCATCCCAAAGTCTCTTCCGAATTTCTTCTCTAGGACTTGCATAGATAACAGTATAAAGAAAAGCTTGATGATCTGCCAATGTAACACGAACATGAATAAATTGATGGGTCTGTTTTAATGAAACATCAACCTCCATTCAGCATTGCTACAAGCTCGATCTAAACGTTTAAAGACTCTATCTAAATGAAGAAATCTTGGTCCTCGCCATGTAAATTTAGAACCTATTCCTTCAAGATCAATCATCTTTATATCAGTTAGAAGAGAAGCAAATTTATTACATCTGCTAGTATCAACTGGAGCACCACCACGTTTCTCACTTGGAAAGGCAATTTCATTAAAATCACCTGCAATTAACCAAGGAACCGAAATATCTTCTGATAACTGAAGTAAATCATCCCAAAGTCTCTTCCGAATTTCTTCTCTAGGACTTGCATAGATAACAGTATAAAGAAAAGCTTGATGATCTGCCAATGTAACACGAACATGAATAAATTGATGGGTCTGTTTTAATGCTTGAACCTGACACCTATCATTATTCCATAGTAACCAAAGACCTCCCGTAAATCCATGAGCATCCTCCACTATTGAATTATTAAAACCCAGCTTTTTTATTATCTGTTTTGCTTTTGAACCACTTACTCGAGGTTCAAGAATAGCTGCCACCTCAATCTTATGCCTTCGAACCATCATTTGAAACGTTGATTTGAAGCACTTTTTAGCCGCCCCGCGGCAATTCCATGTAACTAAAGACATTAATCAATGGTAATTTGGCAGGATTGTGGGTCCACTGCCATCCCATTGTCATTGCACTGAGTTTCAGATTCTGAAATCATCTCCACCTCAATATTGAGCTTATGGTTTATTGGGATATGCTTTCCTTTATCTCTACTTGGATCAGGCGCTTTTGGTTGGGACAAGCCATGATCTAAGCCGTTGATATTTTGACCATCCTTATCCACCTCCATTTGATAACAATCTTTGTTATAATCAGCAACAGTACTCCTAGCCACCATGGAATCTCCACCGCTTTTACCTCCAATGTCCTTACTATTATGAATCGCAACTTGCCTCCTCAAGTTCGTTGTATTATTGTTTGAGGTACCTCTGTCAACTATCTTCCCATTTATTTGATTTTCTTTTTCATGACCTGTCGTAATCCCACTTAACGTAAATCGGTTGGGGTGTTCCTGTAATTCAACATTAGGATGGCTTCTAGGGTTTCTGTGTTTGGACCCTTGAGATGTACTAATATCAATATTAACAGGAGGGCCCACCATATTGACGTCATTTATAACAGCATCCGGATTAGTCGCTGGGATATCATGAGTAATATCATCTTCATTAGAGCCCATTAAAGCAGCGTAACGGGAATTTGATTGATTATCAATCATAACCGGCTGATTTGATTGCGGTTGATTACTCCCTTGATTACTCCATTGATTATTCCCTTGATTACTCCCTTGATTACTCCCTTGATTATTCCCTTGATTACTCCCTTGATTACTCCCTTGATTACGCCTTGATTCCCTTCGAACCGGTTCCTGCTTCCTGTTGTCCGCCATTGGAGTTTGAATTTTTGATCGACGTTGACGTTGCACCACCATCCAAGGACCTAATCCATTTTTCTGAAACTCAGCCTCATCTTTTTTCCCGTCTTGCTTTTGCTGATTATCCTTTCCTTCAACTGGTATCTCAGGACAACAATCTTTACTATGTCCATAGCGCCCACAATGGAAACAAATAAGGCCTAAACCTTCATATTCTATCTGTTTAGTTGCTCCGTCCAACACATATTCACCCTTCAAAGGCTGAGCAAGATCCAGTTCCACGCAAATTCGAGCAAACTGTCCTCTTACATGCTCATTAGTTGTCTTATCGATCTTCAACATTTTACCTAGCCAGTTACCAATACGGCGGAAAAAGGCTTCATTATAATACTCCAGTGGGATACCCGGTAATCGCACCCAAGCTGCAATCTTCATCACACTTGCAGCATTTGGTCTAAAAGCTGGCTCCCAACGTCGGAGTGATAAATAATGGCCTAAAATAATCCAAGGACCACCATTTAGAGCAAAAAGAAGATCATCTTTGTTGCTAAATTGCACCACATAGAATCCATTACCTACATCTGTAACGTTAATCTTTCCAGCTCTAGCCCATAGTATTTCAATCTTCTTTTTCATGAAAGCCACTCCTGTATTCCTTCCAAGTAGTTTTACAATGAGAGCTTTTTCCCAAACCTTCAGCATTCTTGTTCTTGCTTTTCTAGTACAACCAAAATGAGTTCTACCATCTTCCTCTGTCCACATTTTAATCCCACCATAATTCACATCCTCTTCCTCCGCAGGTGCACTTTGATCAACATTTTCTTCCAAATTCCAATCCATTCCTTCCCAATCATCTGTTTCACCATTGTGTTGCATGAGCATCTCTCGCCAAGTCATCTTTTTATTACCGTCGTCAACCATCCAAGATTCATGTCTAGGAACCCTAGACTGTGATTCAGTAAACACCATATCTCCATCTTTATTTCTCTTATTACTCCTACGTAATAGATCTTCTTCTTCTTTTGAAGTTTGGCCTTCAGTAGCTATATTTTCCTCCATGAAAAGGAAAACCCTAGCAGAGCGTTTTTACTATATGTTAAGAAATTCTCGTCCCCTCTTTTCGATTATCTCAAAGTTCGATCCATCATCTGTTTCCGCTTAAGGTAGTTTTCATTCAATGGATTTGGTCATTTTGATTATCACCACGAATATAGGCTGAAGCTCACTGGTTTTAATTTCTCTATAGGCTCATGCTGTGTTGCTTTTGGAAATGGACAACAAGCTTACGAGGAAAGAGTACAAGTGAAAGTAAAAGCATATCTCAGGTAAGTAATCGAATTCGACACGTTGATGTGGTCGAAATACTGATTAAGATTATTATTATTAGAAGTTTAGTGCTTGTTATCCGTCTTGTCTATTGTTCTTCACAGTAAAAAAGGTTTTTTTTGTGATCCATAACTTCAAATTTAAAATATTATTTATTCTACAATATAAACTTATCATTAATCTCTAGCTGATTGAAATGTTGTACTGCCGTGTATTTCTAGAGTTTGATAGCTATTGAAAAAAATTAGATTACATAAAAAATATCGAGATTCAAGTTATTCTCATTAATGAAGTATCTAGGATATAATTGCAAAAAAAAAAACATATATAAAATTAAAGGTGTAGAAATTCTTGAGCTTCACAGTGTTCAATTATCAAAGAATGGTCTTAAAAATTTGAGCTCCTGACTTCCTGGGATCAAAATGGAGAACAGATTATCTTGACGGGCAACTGCTGAAAAAGAAGTTGAAGATTGCATCGAAGATGGTGAAACATCGGTTGAGGGAGTCTATAAAATCTCTATTTGGAAGCCACATAGACCCTGAAAAAGAAGAGCAGCTGCAAGGAGCTAAAACAGGTACATTTTTAAAACAAGATCACACCGAGCCGCCGCCATGACAACTGAAATAAGATATCATGAAATATAATGATGACTAATTTGTTAATTATTTGTGTATCACTTTGTGATGATGATGTAACAAGTGATTTTCTTCTCTTCCTTTCCTACAGAAATTCAAGACAAAGTGAAAAGGATGTTCAAACTTGTTAAAGATGGAAATCTTGAAGAAGATGGCACCTCACTAGAACTTTCTAAGAAGGAATCACTTCTTAAATTGATCGAGGATTTCCACAATCAATACCAAACACTCCATGCAAAATATGATCATCTAACGGGTGAATTGAGGAAAAATATTAATGGCAAGCGAGAAAAAAGAAGTTCTTCATCCTGCTCAGACTCAGACTCAGATTCAGATTACTCTTCAAGGGACAAAGACAGCAAAAATGGACGACTGGAAAATGAATTTCAAATGGTAATTGATGGCATAAAGCAAGAACTTGAAATGGCGCAAATAGAAGTTACTGAATTGAATCGAAAGTTGACAATTACATGTGAAGAGAAAGATGATCTAAATTCAAAATATCTTGCAGCATTGAGCATGATACAATCAGCAGACAAAATAAAAATGATTTTGAAGACCGATGCTGAAGCATTAGGTATTCAAAGATCAAAACTTTTGGTTGAGAACGATGAACTAAAGAAGCAACTGGACACTGCTGTCAAGATGGAAGCTGAACTGAATCAAAGGTTGGAGAACTTGAAGAGAGAAAAAGATAATTTGACCTCAGAGAAAGAAACAGCTTTCCTACGGATTGAGGAGGAGCGAAAGATTACAGATAGCCTGAAAACCATGGCTGATCAACTGAAAGATGAGAAATTAGCCCTCGGAAAAGAATTACAAGTTGTTACAGGGGAACTTTCCATTCTCAAGCAGAGGTTGGAACATGCAGAACAGCATACGACAAATATAAGGCACAATCTGAAGGTTGCTGAGGAAGAAAATGAATCTTTAAAGTTGAGACTTTCACAGGTTTCAAATGAGATTCTGCTGGCTCACGACAGAATAGAAGAACTTATAACTGAATCAACTCAGCTAAAGGAGAAACTGGATGAGAGAGAAAGGGAAGTTTCAACCCTCACTCGGATGCATGAAGGGTATGAAAATGAATCCTCAAATCAAATCAAGGCACTAGAGGCCCAAGTCACAGACCTGGAGCTGGAATTGGAATCACTGCAATCCCAGAAAAGAGACATGGAAGAGAAAATTAAGTGTAGCACAACCGAAGCCAGGGAACTAGGAGAGCACAATTCAGGGCTTCAAAACCAAATATCAGAACTTGAAGTGAAGTTCAATGAAAGAGAACAGGAACTATCTGCTCTCATGAAGAAACTTGAAAACAATGAGATTGAGTCATCGTCTAAAATAGCAGATTTGACATCTCAGATAAACAATCTGCTGACTGATATGGGTGCACTACATGCTCAGAAAAATGAAATTGAAAAGCAGATGCTTTTTACAAGTAACGAAGCATCAACTCGAGTCAAAAGCATTACAGATAAGATCAATGTATTGCAGCAGGAAGTGGAGTCCCTACAACACCACAAATCTGAATTGGAAATTCAACTTGAGGAAAAAGTCCAAGAAAATTCAGAATATGTGATTCAAATACAGACTCTGAAAGAGGAGGTTGACAGAAAAACCACGGAACAAAAGAGGCTTATGGAGGACATGGAAAATTCAATCATGCAGATAAGGAATCTGGAACTAGAGATGAACATCATCAAGAACCAGAAGAGTGAAGATGAAAAGCAAATAAGGGATAACAGCAATAAGATCAGTCAGCTGGGGGAGGAGAAATTGGAGCTACACGAGGAAATAGCTGAATTGGAGAAAAGATCAGTAGAGAGAGAGTTCAAGTTCTCTGCTCTCCAGGATAAACTTAAAGAAGTAGAGGAGTTGGGTTCAGCCCAAATAATGGCCTTCACCGAGCAGATTAACAATCTTCAACATGATTTGCTTTCCCTGCAGAATGAGAAACATGAATTGGCACAACAGTATGAATGGCTGAAGTTTGAGGTGGATTCTTTACAAAGCCACAAGAGCAAAGTTGAGGAGCAAATGAGAGCTAAAGACAACGAGAAAAGTGAGCTGAGAGAAGAAATTTTGGAATTGCAGGGCAAAATTATTGTGCTGGAGAAAACATTAGCAGAGAAAGAGGTCGAGTTATCTGCTTTACAGGACAAACTTCATGAAGAAGAGCACAATGCTTCAGCTCGAACAATGGCGTTCACAGCCCAAGTTGACAATCTGCAAAAAGACTTGCTTTCATTGCAGAAAGAGAAAGAAGAATTAGCACTCCTCTGTTTAAGAATTAAGGAAGAACATGCAGAAAGCCTTGTAATGGTAGAGAATGAAAAGAATGAGTTAGCAAGCAAATCGATGGATCACCGGAGAACGTTGGAAGAACGAGAAGATGCATGTCAGAAATTAAATGAAGAATATACAAAAACTGATAATTGGTTTAAGGAATGCAAGGTGAAACTAGAAGTTACAGAGAAGAAGATGGAACAAATGGAAGAAGAGTTTCATAAAGACATTGACTCGAAAGACCAAATGGTAGCTGATTTGGAACAAACAGCACAAGACCTGAAAAGAGACCTCGAAGAGAAAGGAGATGAAATGGGTACTTTGCTTGAGAATCTCCGCATGCTTGAAGTTAAGCATCGTCTGTCAAACCAGAAGCTCCGTGTAACAGAACAGTTGCTAAGCGAGCAAGAAGAGAGCTTTAGAAAAACGGAAGAGCAGTTCCAGAAAGATCAGACATCACTTGAAGACAGGATTGCTACTTTGTCAGCAACAGTAGCAGCTAAAGATGAAGCTTATCAGAAAATTATCACTAATATTGAAGAGAGTGTGAATAGTGTGATGACGGGCATGGAAACTATTTTCTGGAAATTTTCTGATGAGTATGCAAATTACGAGAACAATATCTCAGACATCTCACATGAGCTTCAGATTGCAAAGAAATGTGTCAGGGAGATGAATAAGGAAAAGGAGCAGTTAAAGAAGGAGAGAAACCATTTGGTGGAGCAGTTGAAGGATAAAAATGAAAAGGAATTGGCTTTGAGGCAGATGGTTGAGAAGCTAGAGGTAACAGCAAGGAAGGAAGAATTAGGGAAGAAGAATCTGACAACAACTGTAGTTCAACTTGAGAAGACAGTTGGAGAACTGGAAAAACTGATGAAAGAGAAAGATGAAGGAATGTTGTATTTGGGGGAGGAAAAGAGAGAAGCCATTAGACAGCTGTGTTTGTGGATCGATTATCATCATAGTCGTTATGACTATCTCAAGGACATTTTATCCAAGACTCGCAGAGACCAGAGAGCCACATAAATCCAATTTCTTTTTTTCCCCTTTCTTTAAATAAAGTGTGTCATGATTTAAGTTTTATTTAGTTTTAATTTTATTTTTTTTTGCCCCAAAATGTGTGTTGATTAACAACATATTGCATATCGGGAACACCATGTATGAAATTAGTTTTAAATCATTTAATGTATTAAATATTATGATATATTTTAAATTAAATTAACTGTACATTTTTATTTATTTACTTTAAAAAAAACCAGTTGTTTGAAAGACTTTTTAAACACTGAGATTTCAAGTTTCAACGCCATCTTTGGGTGCACCAAGGAGAGATTTATTTACAAAAAAAGTGCTAGAGAACCTGCACTAATTTATTAAAACAATAGAACAAACAAGTGCTTTAAAAATAAGAACAACATAAAAATTGTTAATTATTTCTGTTAAAAAAGCACAAAATAATCCCTTAGTAATGGAAATTTCGTGATTACCACAGCTTCATGATGAAGGCCAAAAAAAAAAGAGACCCAAACAATCCCCCCCCCCCCCCCCCCCAAAAAAAAAAAAACTGTTTTAGAGTCATGTTTTATGGAATTAATTTTGAAAACAATTAAACAAAATACAAAACAAATGCATTATGCCCCCTTACACCGAGTATTTAGAGCTGAAACTTGTAACGGGTTAGTAACTTAGATTTTATTTTTGAGATGAACGATAAACTTGAAACAAAATGCTGAGACGTAGACTGTTGATATAGGATCCCCGATTAACTAATATTTAGCCACAGGATTCAGGATTTTGAGGATTTCTTTTTTTAATAATTGGGGATTTTGTGGATTATAAGCCCAATAGACGAAAACTACAAAGAAAAATGAGTACAAATATTTGGAACACCAAATCGATCCGAATTGAAGCACCGGAGAATTACATGTGGTAGTGCCCGACAAAATATAAACTAAACTTAACGGCAAAAATATTTAAATATTGTTTTTTAATATATAATTAAGGAAACTCAGTTGTTTTAAATGTAAATATGAATCTATAGTACTCAAACACGCTCCACAGAGGACGTGAACGGTTGGTGAGAGACACGCCCCGCAGAGGGCGTGTTTTATGATAGAGACACTCCCCACACGGGGTATGATCTGCCAGACAAACCTGCTCAATCAGGGCCTGAGTAGCCCAATTCTTCCCTATTTAAACCCTCTCCTCTCCACATTTTTCACAACTCGTCTCTATCATTAAACAATACTCTTACGTACATTTTTCACTTGTTTATTCATATTATGTTTTGTGTTTTTCATTAATATATTTAAGAATGAGTTCAAATTTTGATTTTATTCGTGTTGTTCTATATTATAATGGTAGAAAAATGGAAGGTTGTCTCGGTGTAGTTTTTGAAGGCGAGAAAAGGCCATCACGTATTAAGCGAAATTTAACATTTGCCGAACTGCATCAGAAAATTCGCCAAAAATTAGGTCTAGAAGATAACCAATAGATCACTCTGGTCACGACAAGATTATGACAATCTGAAAAATACATTAGTTTGCAAGTGGTGGATGATGAAGTCGTAGAAATGGTAATGGGAGAATTCTTCAACCAGTCCAGAAAATATTTCTTAGAGTTGTACGTGGATATTGCTAGAGCGGAGGATGTTGTTTTGCCCATGAGGTCAGTTGCTTGTAATTCTCCACGTAATGGATCAACATCTGTTGTTCCAGTTGTTAACATGTCTGAGGAAGATGAAAATGATCCTACCTGGGTTATGGATGACGACTATAACGATGACGATGAGGAAAATATCACAATGGAAGATCATCTTCTTGCGGAGGATGCTAGTGCTTTGGACAATGATGAGGAATGTGACAGGTCCACTACTCAAATCCAGCCATGTCATGATCTAGGGGAGCCTTGATTCGTAGAACATCATGACATGGGCTCGAGTCAAATACAACAACATCCTGAAGGTATATTAGGAAAAACCTCATATATGCATATATGGTTTTGTTGATGTAATTTGTTCTACTTGTTACTATTATTAATTAGTACACACAGGTGATGATGTTGTTACCCCTTTTTGGGATGAAATTCCACATTACACATATATTGATTGGGATCATCTGAGTGAACAAGAATCATATACCGAGGGTTCGGGTTCAATCCAAGGTCTATGGCAATTAAGGGGAAAGTTGTTTGTTAACTAGGAATTTACATTCAGAAAAGAGGCTCAGATGGCAATCAAGCGCAACCTCATGATGAGGGAGCATCAAGAAGCAATTGTGGTTGAGAGCATGCCTACAAAGTTAAACATGAAATGTTGCACGCATGAGCAGGGTTGCCCATGGAGGATTAGGGTAATAAAACCAACTTATGGTGAAAATTGGAAGGTTATGAAATTGGGTAGAGATCACAATTGCTTGAATGAACATATTTCTCAGGATCACAGACAGCTTGATTCTGATATTATTGCATTACTCATGGTAGGTACGTTATTTCATAATTTTATGATTATAAAAAATTTGGTTCATATATATTTCTTTGTGTTAATGTGTACATTACAATTTGATTGTTAGAAATGATAAAAAAGGAACCATCAGTCTTAATTGCACTGGTTCAGAAGAGGATCACTCATTCTTATGGATTCAAAGTTTCATATAGAAAGGCATGGTATACGAAGCAGAAAGCAATGTCAATGATGTTAAAAAATTATATTAAATAAAATTAACATTGCCTAGACCAATATTTTAAAAAAATTAAATTAAAATATATTTTTTTATTTAAAAGTATATGTTCATATATTACAATTCCATATAATTATGTTAAGTCACTAATCATACCTTACGTCACTAACAAATTTTTAAATCACTAACCATTTCCTAAGTCACTGACCATTTTCTAAGCCACTAACTATTTTCTACGTCACTAATAATTTCCTACGTCACTAATATAATATATCTAATATTGTAATTAAAAAATAGTAAGCAGATATTGGGACTTACTTGACTGACTGAGCTTCGTTGCGCTAAAAGTTGAAGACGAAATCTAGAGAAAAGTCAGAGGCCAATTTTAGAGAGGTGTTAAATGAAAAAGTGAAAGAGGGGGTATATATAGATTTCTTGGGTCACACCCCGTGTGGGGAGTGTCTCTCTCATAAAACATGCCTTCTGTGGGGCGTGTCTCTCTCCTCGCAAGTCACGCCCTTTGTAGGGCGTGTTTCTCTCATACAACACGCCATTTGTGGGACGTGTCTCTCTCCAATCGATCATGCCCTCTGTGGAACTTGTTTAAGTGATATAGATTCGTATTTACATTTAAAATTGACTGTGTTTCCATTATTATTTATTAAAAAATAATATTTAAATTTTTTTGCCATTAAAAGGGAGTATCTTATCTCTAGTAGAAGACATTCTCACCATAAACCCAACACATGATGGTCCCACCATGTGTTAAAAAAATAAAAAATAAAAAAAACAAGTCATGTTTGGTAATTCTTTCTTATTTAATGAGAGAATAATTTCTCAAACTTAAAAGCCGTTACTTTTGTATGAGTCATATAGCCCTGCCACAACTCTTTATTGCTACTGAATGAAAAAAATATGTAGAGAAGAGATGACATATGGATAGGACATACAACTGGTTTTCTACAATTAAATCTTCAAATTTCATTTACTGAAAATGAAGTAACTAATTACTGTCTACTACTATCACTTCTGGCAAATGCCGACAAATGCCTAACGAATTGCTAATTCTTCAGTCAGATATTCTCACTTCAACTCCAAGAATGTCCTTAACCATCTCGTATGTCACGAAAGCAATAGCTATAGAAGGGACCACCTGAAACGAATAGAGTGGGATTGCAATCAAAATGCTTCTCTGTTGCATAAGCTCACTCATTACGTATTTGATGCTATTAATTAAGCTTTCTCTTCTGAGACTAAGAACTATTGTCAATCAAACCCGGGAAATTGATGCAAAAAATGTACCCAAGTTTTTGTTACCCGCAGTTTACATGGGATTGTGGATCCAGAATTCCAAATTCATACCAGTTGGAAAGGGTATGTAGATAAATGAACTTGATCATAGAGCATTGTAACATGACAAGGAAGTTATGCAAATGGCCAAACAGATCGACTGACCTTAACCGAATTGGGCACTAAGCCCTTGTATAATGCACCCAATCCCTCATGCTGCACAGTTTTCCTGAATGCATCAACCATGCCAGTATACTCAGCTTTGCTCTTCCCTTCACCAGCAACAACTGAAGCAGCATCTTTCCAACCCACCATCTGCATTCTTCGGCGAATGACATCAAGAGGGTATGCCACTGTCTGGCCAACAGTTCCAGCAGCAGCCCCACATGCAAGCCTTGTGGTCACACTTAGCTCAGAATCTTGAGCTATTCCAAATGGTTTAGATCGAATCAACCAGTCTTTGAGAGATTCATACACAGAAAAATTAAGACCCACATACGGTATCTGCAGATAAAATAGTATTTTCATGCAAAGATAAAATCGGAAATCCTTAAAAACAGATAACATGACATGAATAATCTGTAGACCCCTAGAATCAGAGGTTAACACAAATATATCTATTTCAAGAATCAAAGTTGTTTGCTTACAACTCCTATGACTGAAGGCAGCCATCCTTTATACAAAGCTCGCGGGCCTTCTTCCCGGAAGACTGTTGAAAGAGCATGAAAAATTCCTCTGTACTGGGAAGGAGATCCTTCTGTCTACAGAATTTTTGCAAATGAATTAAACTTATGGCCAACAAAGCAAACGATTTAATGAGGAATCCTCATCTTCCACAAACAACACTTCTAGAAGCAAATCCAAATAAACCAAAATTCCAAAAGAACTTTCTTTAGCAATACCTGGACAGTTAGCCGTCCTCGTACCAGGTCCATAGGATAAGTTGCAGACATGGCAATGATTCCCGCACATGCACCAGCTCCAAGACGCAGAAGAGGAGTAAGCTGAGCTTCTTCTGCAAAAAAAAAAAAAAAGTGGGGTTGGGGAATGAACATCATCAACCACATAAGCACCATTGAATGACAATGACAAAGCCTTGGAAGGGTAGGAAAGCACATTTATTACGAATTACATGTACTGGACAAACAATTTACATCAACAAACACACACATGATTAAGAATATACACTGTTTATTTATACTACCAGTAAAGGATTCCTTTGGTCACAATTCCTTCTTCTTCTTTTCCAAAATGCCATTATAGGAAAGGATAATTTACAATAAAAAGATAAAAACTGACATGCCATTACAAGAGACAGTTGGCCGAAACATCTACCTTTCTTTTCTTCTCAGCTATCTCTTTATTTATCCTTTTTCACAATTTTTTCTCAATTCAAAAATTTCTACTTTATTTATCAAAACACCCACTTTTAATATAAATAATTACTTGAAAAAAATAAAAAAGCAGACTGATAAGCAACTGCTAATAATTCTAATATGGATAGAAAACTGTATTCAGATAAGTAATTCATTGGGAAGATTCAAATGTCCTTTTTAAATATTAACATTTAAATCAGCAACATGAAATGATCAGATCACCGCGTCATGATGAATAAAATTGTTCTCATGCACAAAACTCTTCCATTAACAAAATTTTCTAGTGTGTTCCCCATGTAATTTTGCCATAACGTGATCTCTACACTACTATAAAGATAGACGGAACATCTAAGTCCTCTTTTTATGCTGTATCGGACCTTCTAAGTCTAACAATGTTCTGATGCATAAAAGAGTGATTTAAGGGAGAGTTGTTTTGGTTGTACCATTTCCAGGTTGCTGCTGGTAGAGCCATAAAATACCCCTGCATTAGTATTAACTAATAATTAGAGGGAGCCTTGTATTGAATTGACAAATTTACAACAGACAAATGAAATAAATATCAGAAAATAAATGTGCAGAAGCATACTTAGATGCTTCCTCATAGCTAAAGAACTTCACTGCTGAATTTGGGACAATACGAGCACAATTAGTTCCGTTTCCTTTAAACATTCCTCTTAAACCTTCAGTTCTCCATATATATTTTAACCCTTGAATTGTTCCGTTGTATTTTATATCGTGACGATTTTGAACCTGCATTTTCCAAAAGCAATTCGTTTAATTCACTGAACAGCAAAGCATAAAATCAACATAATCTCCCCCTCGAACGTATGTTTATCTACATTCATACACCCAGCCATCCACACACCTGATCCTCTGCTTTAGGAAAACAGAGTTGATAATCAAGAATTTGAAAAAAAGAAAAAAAAGGTTGCATCATGAGACTATACATCTAAACATACATTTAATGACAGCAATAAACATCATAACATTGGACAAAATGCTGCTTGTTCCATTCCTATGTAAATACTATAAAAATCTTTTGGTAAGGACGGTGGGGATGGAGAAGTAGTGGAGGAGAATGGTTAACAGCAAAAAGATAATAGTAGTAGTAATAAACTTAGTAGGAGTTACCTGCAGCAGAATCTTTAATCTTTCCAGAGGAGCCACAGCTGTTCGTGACCTATAAAAGAAAGTAGATATATAAGGCTTGGCTTTATCAAAATGCAAAGATAAAAACCCATTTCATACATGCACATTATAAGGTGAAATCTGCCTCATCAATGCCAAGAAAAAACTATAGCCTACAGGGACTTGGCTTGTTTCGCAATTTCACTGACAAATACTAATAATTTTAGTAGTATTTTTAACGAACATATTCACATGTCCACAAATAGATATCCCCACACAGCAGTTGACTCTCATCCCAATGATCAACTGATGCAGTAATTCAGTAAATGTCAAAGGAAATTGTATTTACTGGATAAAAAATTATATTTACGCAATTTTTTTTGAACAAATTAACATTCTTCAAAAGATTTTGGATGAAGTCCCAAAGCATTATATTTTAAACTTCGTCTCAGCTTCTAAAGTTTTAAAGTTGATACTAGGATGTTCAAAATTAGTTGTGGTTGACATTAAGAGGGGTAAAAAAACATACTTTAGGAGACTTGTTTATAGTTGTCCACCACTCTTTAAAAACTTATTTACATCAAAATAGACTGAAGCTTAACATATTTTACCCTTAAAAAAGGGGGTGTATTTTACCCATAAAAAAAATTATACCACTTTTACAATTTATTTGTTTGGAATAAAAAATATATAAAAGAGTGCGATGAAGTGTGTATTTTATTTTTTATTTAAAAAAAGTTATATAAGAGTGGTATAAATTATAATGTGTAATTATCATTTATCTACGGGATATGAAAGTGACTTTGAGTTGTGCTCACTGCATAATCCCATGCTCTTAACATACTATCAAGTATCAAGTAGTCAACAGGGTATTTCTACTTTGGAGTTACTAACGAAATTTTATTTGAGTAAACACCATTTTTAGTCCCTGTCAATATCTACGAAGTCTTTTTTAGTCCCTGGCAATAAAAAAGGACCAAATTGGTCCCTAAAATTACAAAAAAAGGGTCATGTTAGTCCTTATGTCAACTCCCAAATATGTAGAGTGGTCCTTTTCTTGTACTCTCAGGGACCAATTTGGTCCTTTTTTATTGCCAGGGACTGAAAAGGACTTCGTAGATATTGTCAGGGACTAAAAAGGGTATTTACTCATTTTATTTTTACTGGCTAAAGATGGAAAAATAAAAGGACATAAACAATGCAATTGAATATTTTATCATAAAACCGGATTGGAATAGATGGTTGGACTAGTTTAAACCAATTTTAAACTGATTTGAACCGGTATTAAATTAAACGGGCACTGTTCCCTAGGTTGATTGGGACGCGTATCCTGACATAAACGACGAATAAAGAATGCATATAACATTAACCGTTAAAACATGAAAAAGCATGTAAGTTATTTGTATTTATTTTTAAAATAATGTCGTTTTGTTATTGAAATTTTAAAAAATTATAAATATAAAGATTATTATAACTTTAAAATAAATTAAAATTACAAAAATATTATGATTTCCATCCCAAAACAACATCGTATTGAACTTACTGCAGATAACTTATCTGGAGTAACCGCCGGAAAAAAGAATGAACCCTTAAAACATATAATACTTATATTATGCTTATTACATTTGTCAATATCAAGTAGGGCCAATATTTCGATATTAACGGCGAGTTTAATAACACTAATTCCAACAATAGCTCTGCAAGATTTCTTTACATTGCATAGAGATAGGAGATAAGGGTGAGACCGGTAAGAACTAAAAACAATCCTGAGAGAAAAATCGATCAGATTTAAATAGAAGACCGGCCTACACCTAGTAAATGATCACAGCATAACGATTTCATGATCTCGAACATGCAAATGCTTCAATAATCAAAGCATCACAAAGAAGCTATCGTTGGATTGAAGAAAACAACAAACGAAAACGAAGGACCGAAAGCAGAACCAAAAATAACTTCCAAGACCAAAAGAAGAAGGGAAAAAATGAACAATATCGAGAAAAAATGAATGGAGAAAAGCAACACTAGCAAAAAGTGCGTGCAACGTCCACCAAAAGAAAGAATCAAGAAAAGAAAATGAAAGAAGTGAAACTTACACTCCACCAGCGATTCCACCGGCGACGAGAGACTTGCAGATGCTGATAAGCGCGTGAGTAGGAGGTTTCACACCTTCAACGGCAAGCTTTGCTTCGCCGGCGATATTGACGGTCGTGGAAACAGCAGCCTCATGACTGGTCTTTCCGGCAGCATCTTCGGACGCCATTGATGCCGGAACCCCAGAAATGGCTGTAAGAAACGAATTCTATCGAGTGCGTATGATGGAGGATTAACGCTAGCGGAGAAAGAGAATTTGCATTAGAAAGAAAAGGCAATGAAAGGAAAGTAAACGGTATAACAGAATAGAAACGAAAATAACCTTGTTCCCGGATTTTACTTTTGAAAAGCGTTTATTATATGCGCGCGTCTCCATCATAACGTGTGATCTGTGACTTCTGGCTTGGTATTTCTGTAATTCCGAGCCCTTTTATTTTTGTTTATTCTTTATTCTTTATTTTTTGTTTTAGTTGGCAGAGTCGTCAAGCAAAGAACAACCCACTATTTGCTTGTGCCATGGCGCCTGGCGCGTTTAAGAGGGTAACCACTAATTTAAAATGTCCATGTCCTCCAGTGGAACCTATCTTTCCCGAACCCATGCATCCAGTATTTTTTTATTTTATATTTTAAGTTTTCATTTATGGGTTCTCTTCTGTGTCAATGTAGATAATTTATCTACAGTGAGGCCCAAAACGACATCGTTTTGAAGCTGAAATTATGTTATTTTTCTAATTATAATTTATTTCAGGGTTATAATAATATTTTTTATTATAATTTTTAATTTTCAACCCAAAATGACGTCATTTTGGGAGCGAATATAAATAACTTATCTACGTTCACTTCGTTTATACTATATTATATTTCAATGTGTGGAAAGTTTTGTCATTTGTAATGATTTAGATTGTTTTCAAACTTGTAAACTTTTTGTCTTAAATAAAGTTTAAAAAAAATTTAAACTATATGTGTCATGGGTCGAGTGAGATTTGTCTTAATTAAATTGATTGGCTAAAATTAGGGAAACCAATCAATTGGATTGATTGGATAAAAAAAAAGAAAATTATCCAATAATATTATTGGGAAGTGATGAGACCCTAATCAAAGGGTTGATTAGCCATCATATTTATTTCTATTTTTCCTTATTTAAATGAACATTTTTCTTATTTTGCTACGTATATATAAAATCCTGGCCGAAAATTATTACATTCTTTAGAAAGTTTGCTGATGTGTTACTATATTTTTTTGTTTGGTAATTGGCTTTCGTACACATATTTCTTCTGTTCTTTGTCTTTTTTTTCTTTCTCTTCTTCTCAAGCTGTTCTTCCGCCTTATGTATTTCAAATATGATTTTATAAAGGATATTGTATTTAAGATTTTATTGCATTCTCATGATTTTTATTTTTTTTTGAAATATTTCAATCGGTTCATTGTTTCGCTACTAATCCGATTAGGAGAGAGTTCAGGATTAAAGCTTTAAACTCCTTCAAAAGTGGTACGGGGGAGATTCGAACACATCATAATTTTTTTTTAAAATTTTACATAAAACTTCCACCTATTAATTGCTACGTTATTTAAAGAGGATGTTACAAACATATTTAAAAAAAATTATTTATAATTAAATTAGTTTATAAAAAAAAAATTAAATGTTAAAAAATAGTTTTATTACTTTTATAAATCAAAAAATGGTTTCTAAAAAATTTAAAATATAATATCATAAAAATACCTTAACCTTGTTTAAAAAGGGAGGGGTTATATTTACAACCCAAATAGTTTACAAACTCTTACAATCATATCTTAACCCTTGATTTTCGCCAATCAACGGTTGTCATTTATTGTGAATTAATAATTAATTAATAAATTTAATTTGCAAAAATCTTAACCGTTGATTGACAGAAATCAACGGTTAGATACGATTATAGTATCAATCCAAAATTGAAGTAAAAATTGTTTTTTTTTTTTTAATTCTCTTAGCTATTGAGCCACTTGAACCAGACTCCTTGTACTTCCGCTCCTTTGCTTCCAATTCCTTCTCTTTCATCGCCGCAATCGCCGCCATCTCCGCTTCCTTTGATTTTTTTTATCGGCGGCCGCCCTCTCCTCGGCGGCTCTGGATTCCTTCTTCGCCTTGGTAGCGCGCACCAACGACACAATCTCCTTCTCGGCCGTGTCGTTTTGGAAGAAGTCGCTCTCTTGTGCGTGAAACAGAATGGTGGCAGTGAGGATACGATCAAGTTCTTTTTTTCTTTTTTTTTTTCTTGATTGTTCTACCTCTTGAGTTTATGAGAGCGAGCAAATTAAGATGCAGTTGCAGCAAAAAGAATAGAAGAGGATATCACGAGGGTAATTTCGGCCAAGATTGCTTTCTCAACAGTGCGAATGCCCTGCTTTCTGGACCAAATGGAAAAATTCCATGCAAATGGGATAGATGGGCATCCTTGCGAAATCTGTCTACCAAACGAAGTCTTTGAGGATTGACAAGTTCATTTGCCTAGCTAAATTGTAGGATCTCCTGAACCAAATAGGGCCTAAAAAATATATATGCAAAGGAACTTGTAGTTATATATTCTATGCTCAACTCGGACTTTAATTTCGGGTCAGTTATCAAAGAAATTAATTAATTATTTTAAATACAACAGAATAATGCGTGGTGGGGATAAAATTCAACAGACAACCGTTATTTGGAAAGTTTATTAAAATTAGAGATGGATCTCAAGACTAAAATCCTCCAACTCTCGTGATATAAAAGTATCTTATAAGTTATGAGTTTAAACCTCAGTTCTCCCATTGTATTAAAAAAGACAAAAAACAAAAAAAGCATCTTATAATCACTAGCTCGTCTCCAAAGTAATTGACTGACGATCAATATATTTGACATAGGCTTTTAAATGTCCTTAGTTTCCGAAGCTTTATCACAAATAAAGGGCCAACGCACATTTGAGACACATGCAATAAGATTATTTTGCTCCTGCTGCTTCGGAGCAATTTGTTGCCACCTGAGTACTTATTTATGTACTTAACATATACATATTAAGTACGCGTGATTCATAATGCAATTTCAATTTTTAGTTTGATATAACGATAAGTCATTGATCCGCAATCTGCAACTTTGACGATTATCTGACATCATCAATAATAAAAATAACGGAAAGCTGGCCTGACTCTTTCGTTATGCCCATGAACATTATTCGAAAATGACATTTTTTTAGGAAATATCTTGCTTCCCGTGATTCTATCAATTGAGGTTCCCCTCCTTCCTCTTCGTAACGAACATAATTAAAAGAAAAAGAAAAAGAAAAAAGAAGCCAGAAATTAGTCAAATTACCCTTTTTAAAAAAATCGCTGACTTGCATTTAAAAGAAAAATATTTGTTACACTATCTCTGATATGTATCATGTATCAGTGAGAAGGATCATATATATTTTTAAATAATTACCATTAACTTATTTATTTTATGTTATAATTTATAATAATTTAATTTAAATACAAAGAAATGTCCAGATAAAAAATTTATAGTTACCCGTATTTTATGAAAAGTTAAAAAAAGAAAGAGGATAAATTTCTTTCTTTACTTCTTTTCTCATTAAAGGAAATAAGGAATATGTAAGATGGAACAAACAAAATGAATTGTAAGATATATATGGAAACATGACATAGAATAGAACACAAATAAAAAATCTTAAAAATTACCGTTATCAGAAGAATTTCGTCCAATCACTACTCACCCTAAGAATTAGTCTCTTCTTACGAAAAAAATAAAGAGAAAAGAGATTAAGGAGAAAGACTAATCATTACAGCTAGTTTTGTTCAATCTCAATTGTTCCTACATAAGTTTCTCGCTGGTTGGTTTGAGATTAAGGAGAAAACGAAATTACCCTACTCGCTTTTTCAGATTTGCAAGAGAAAAATAGACGGGACAATCCTCTTGGCTAATTCGTGGTTTTTTGGGCCTTCGAAGCTACAGTGGAGGCCCATAGAAATATAGCAATAACTTGGACTTGGACACCAACTTATCAAAAAGAAGTTTTTTTTTTGATACAGTCTAAAAGGAGGGAACAGTGACCATTGTGCCACTGTTCCCACTGTTATTTACCTAAATGCCACGCACCTGAACTTTTTTCCCAAACTGTCACGCGGGCTAGTTCGCTGGGAGTAGTAGCGAACCAGGCATGATGATGTGTCAGTAAGCTGGTGGTGCTCAAGTTCGCTTGTGTCAGTAGCGAACTTGGGTGCAATAAAGCCTGCAACGTATTTTGAGTTCGCTGCCTATGCAAGTGACCTAGATGGCACGTGTCTGACCCCAACCAAGTTCGCTGGGGACCAAGGCGACCTAGGTGCCACGTGGCAGTTCCCTAGAAGTCCGCTGCCTTGGTCAGCGAACTACATGCCGACAGTTACAGGTCGCTGGGCCATAAAGCGAACTCAGTGTTATTTAAACCCCCTTCCTCGACAAAGTCAGTCATTCATTCTCGTTCGTTTTCTTAAAAGGAAATTTCCATTTCTGTGTGTGAATTCTATTTCAGTACATAATGAGTGAGAATAACAATGATGTAATATGCCTTCTATGTTACAATGGGAGAAGATATTTTGGACCGAACGGTCAAGTGTTTGAAGGAGATACAAAGATCTTCCGCATGAGTCCGCGTTGCAAATATAATGAGCTCAAGAAAATAATATACAAGAAGTTGAGATTACAACGAGGTCAATCCTTGTCTCGACTGATTGTTAGATGTGCTTCTGGTAACCCCGTGCAATGGGTTGCTGTGGAGGTGGTTGAGGATGAAGATGTGTCACTAGTAGTTGATGCATTTCGACAGCATGGAGAGTCCTCATACATCGAGTTATATGCGGAACTAAACAACGGTGGAGAGGCAAGCACTCAATGTTTCATCCCTACCAGTCACTCCATACACATTAACAAAGAGCCGGAAGTAGATGCGGAAGATATAAATGTGTCACCCCCACCATCATCACCCCCAATAACACAACCTTTAGACGTGATTCATGCCAATGAAGTAGATGATCCATCGGGGCGTACTGATAGTTCCGAGGAGGAGGTTGATGAAGGTCTAGTCCCTGAAAGTGACTCGTCGGATACAGACGTTGATGGTGATTTCGAGTTGGAAACGTCCACTGCTTTGGTTGAACCGATTCCATCACCGGGTATTGTTGGTGCGCATGACCCACCACCTGCTGCAGGTTAGGTAGTTTACCATTTGAGTTTTAAGATAGTTTACTGTTTCAGTTTA